TTAAAGCCTTGATTGTGTTGTCGTCCACGCAACTTTTCGTCATTCGGTGCATGATGACTGACAGAAAAACTAACTTTATTCGTGGTTTTCAGCTGACAACCTYTTAGCACTGAACTAAATTTGCTCTTTTGGCTACCGTTCACTGTATCAAATCGAAATTTTTTTCCATTATTTTGTCATATGGAGTTTTCCTAGCGTCGCTTTGATCGAGTCGGTCGATAGTCTTGTTGTTTTCACGTGATAGTAATCTGATCCCAATAATATTGCTTTTTTTTTTCTTCTCACGGAAACAAAGCCGGGTAGAGAGTAATTTTATGTCTACCTACATAAAGAAAGCTTTAGGAAGGCCGAGAAACGATGGTAAAAGGAAAAATGTCAAATGAAAGAGCTCCACTTTTAGAAGACACAGACGATGATAGCATAGAAAACGGCCAAGTACACTCACCAAAAACAGACGAGACCAGGAAAGCAAAACAACTTTCACAAGTACCTAAAGACAGGTAAGGCAGTATTTTATTGATTCTTGGGACATTTAAACCTTGAAAGTGAAACAGCAGTGCCTTTAAGGGAAATGTTTTTGTCATCTTCAAGGTCAGGTTTGAACGCTTTCGTTCATTAATAATTTTGATAAAACTTGTGCTACAGCTTTATAGATTTATTTAGCAAAGCTCACATGCTTAACCTTATGTAATAAAATAAACATTAATTTTTTAAAATCTTGACATAGAATAGAGCGGAAATGATATCTTAGTAAAATTCAATCGTACTCATATAACTGAATTTCTGTTTGTAGTGTAATATATGACTAGAGGAATGGTTTCAATTGCCCTATCGAGGTAGACCCAGAAAAAATGGTTATAAAAGACGTTAGGATATAGAATTTAGAAATGGTTTGGCAAAGCTATAATAATGGAAGCTTACTTGAAGTTTTACAGATCAATATTTGGCCTTTTTAGATAATTTAAAAGAATTTGTAAAAAAAAAAAAAAAACATTTCGGGAAGTACCCTTAGCTAACCATGCACTTAACACAGAAAGCCCGTTGTCAAAAAAATACATCCAAGTATTTTTAAAAACCTTCAAATTTTATCAGCAACCTGAAAAAATCCCTCAATTATATCTGGTCTGATCAAAGGCAGGGCATGACAAATTCACAGAGGGAATTTGAATAGACAACTTGGGAATTTYATACCCACATGTGATGTCGACTCCAGAAAGCTATAACCATGTTGCATAACACGTCGGCAACAATTGTTAGGGCATTAGTGAACATATACTTGAGTGTCATATGGTGTTTTAGGGTCCACCTTTTGATACAAACACCTTTTGTTCATCATGTTTTATATGATGTGAGTCATTTGTATTGAAGCTAGATCAGAATGCACCTGCTGTTGAAGAATTCAGAAAAGGCCAGACACTTGTCCTTGATCCTTGTTGTATGAACGGTGAATARCACTATTCAATGGATAAATGCTTAACCAGTGGATAAGCTGATGCTGTTATCCAATAAATTTATCCACTGGATTTAATTTATTGGTAAGATAGTGCTATCCACCCAGGCTTCGTACAAATGGACACAGTCCTCATTGATGTATTACTCTTTTCCATTAATGAATAGGAGGTTTGCATGATGACATTATTGACCTCTACTACCAGACTCCCTTGCACACTTTTTTTGTTCAGTTAATTACAGTAGCATCAATTTGTCTTACTATTCTCAAGAGGAATAGAAATTTGAATAAGAAAAAAAATTGCCAAGTATTATGGTTGTGGGAGTCAAATGACGCCATCATACAAACGACCTAGTAATGTACATGTAGGTGCTTCTTGATACGATCCAAATATGTAAACATTAAGAACCGTGGTCTGTTTTACTGTATTCTGACAGAATTTGATTGATCCCTTAAATCCTACATACTTTCTGTCCCTTCAGAGGGTCCAGATACAACCGAAGTTCAGTGATGGTAGAAGGGCTAGTGGGGCTTTTTATCATTAGCTTAGTTTGAGTTCTTAGTTTGTAGTTCTGGACCTTTTCTACAGCGCAACTATTTCACGCATCTTGTTTTTTTACCGTTTATTAGCTTTGTATAGTTAGTATAGTACGCACATGGTGATTGGTCAAAAACTGTGCTTTATTAGTTAACGAAGGACAGTGCTGACACCATCTGTGTACACCAAGTGCTGCTAAATCCTGCAACCATCTTTCTTTTTGCGTAAATAAATCCAGTTATGAAAAAAACTATATAATAAACGAATAAAACAGCTTTTTCCGTGTTCCATTCAGTAAAAAAGCACTTGGGAGGTGCCATAAGCACACAAGAAGTGTGAGAAGCACTCACCTAGGGCTTGTGTTTCTCCTAACACTTCTTTCGTGCTTACATCACTTACTGCATGCTTTATTACTAAACAGAGAATGAAGAAGCTGTTTTATTTGTTAAAGTGATCATTGAAAAAGCTGCTATTATGTAGCTACTAATTTTTTTATAGATACTCATTTTTTCGGTATTGAATTTAATTACACAAAGAGAAAGACAGTCAAAGAATCTCTAGCAGCACTTCACATGCGTGGATGGCATCAGCACTGTGCTCCGTTTACTAATAAAGCACAGTTTTTGACCAATCAGCATGTGAYTACTATACTAAATTACATAATAAACAGTTTTAAAATAGGCCAGGGTCAGCAGTGATTTGATAATTCAGGACAGACCAACTTTTTCATCCCAAAAACATAGCATACTCATTATTATATATATCATTTTTCGACTGTGTAAAACACAGCCCCCATAAATGATTTTTATTCAAATTCGAAATTTGGGTTCCCTGTGGTGGTTCCTTTGTGTGAAGCTGTGAAGAATGATTTTAAAATAGCCCGGGGTCAGCAGTGATTTGACAATTCAGGACAGACCAACTTTTTCATCCCAAAATCATAGCATATTTATTTTCTTATGTATGATTTTTCGACTGTGTAAAACACAGCCCCCGTAAGCGATTTTTGTTCGAATTTAAAATATGGGTTTCCTGTGGTGGTTGTACATGTGATCATGAAGCGCGTGATCGTTCACGTGTTTCCGGGCCAAAGTTTATCCTTGAAATTTTTGTTATGTGATATCAACTATATTTGAATTCACATGACACAGACCTCCTAAGATCCGATATGCACTGTCGAATTTTTTTTTGCTTGCTGTGATCGAGTTAAATCACTGGTCTTAAAGAATTGTATAGTCAAGAGCAAAAGAACCAAAGATCTCTCTGTTTGTGTTATTTGAAATAATATTCAACCATGGGTGCAGGCAAGGACGGATTCAAGATTGAGACGAAACCGATGCTGAAAGAAAAGAAGAGAGGAGATAAACCATCTTTAGCAAAGACTCTTCTGGTATCGATGGAGCCAAAAGATAGGTATGTTAGACAGTCTTATAGTTAGATGTGTTGAACAGCCAGTTACTCTGTGTTATTGAGGTACCACATACAGGCAGAGATAATGCAAAGCATCAAAAACAGCTGAGTAACACAAAATTTATTTGTTTGATCATAAACCTTTTTCTTCAGTAGAGAAAAATTTATCTCTGTGATCATAGTTAATCTATTAACTACGCTGTGATAATTCGGTACTCTTTTATATTTAACTCGTTTGTTCAGAAGTTTTAGATAGATTTAGCTTTAGATAGATTATAGGATATCGTGAAATAACTCARTCCTTACAGCCTTTTTTGTTTCTTTCTTAACGTTCTTGTTATCGCTGTTTGAGAATTTTTTGTGTATGTAGACGAATCAACTCCCTTGGGTTCCATCAGAAACCTAAAACCGTCGAACTGTTATCAGCAGTAATACAATTCTTGGCAAGGGTTTTCATTTCCTTTTGATCATGAACCCCACTGATCATCTCTCAAGTTTTGACACATTTTAAAATGTTTTTAAGAAAACATAGCTCTTTGCGCATTTAATTTCTATTTCCCCCCATTGCGTGGGTCTTTGTTTGCTTAGATTTTCATACTCTTGGGATAGAAAGATTTGAGTTTATCAAAAAAAACCTGGGTGACCTTGAATTATTTTCAAATGCCGTTTGCAAGGTCAGGGTGAGTGAATTCCCTGGAGACAACTACTGTAAATTGAATTTTCAAATAATGTTTTTCTGCCCCAAAGATCTCAACAAATTTTCTATAATTTATTATCGTACTGCGTTTGTACTTTTAAATTAATACTTGGTTATCTAGTTTGACTAAATGATTTGAGAAGGACAAGGATAAATGCAAAAAAAAAAATCTTTATTTTTAATATTGCTAATAATTACAAACAAATGCTCTGCAGTAGACCTATCCTGAATTCCCTTGACTGGTCATGAAACAATGGTTTCAAGTCGAGGTTGAACTTGATGAATAAAAGAATCAAGTTCAATCTCGACTTGAAACCATTGTTTCATGGTCAGTCAAGCAAATTTGGTCTATTAATTTGAAAATAATTTTAATTTCAAACAATGTAAATAAATCAGCACTAAAAAAAGATTTCATTAAAAAAAAATTGGAATATTCTAGTTAGGAGGGTATAGTGTAGTGCTACGGTAGTAGAGTCGTTCTAGTTAGGAAGCCAGTTCAGTGATATTAGTGTCAATGGGGTTAGGAAACCAATTCAGCACTGGTGTAATCATTCTGGTTAGATATCCTATTCAGTGCTAGTAGATCCATTCTGGTTAGGAATCCAATTCAGTGCTAGTAAAGTCATTCTAGTTAGAAAGCCAATTTA